ATAATTTATTTAAGATTATTGTTCTTTATTCTTTCATGAGTTAATTTTACTATGAATTGAACGTATTAAATTACTTGATCACTAATTTGATGAGTTTGTGAATCCTTTACGAATAGAAATATGAGTTTACGATTTAAACATGTAGTAAAATTCGGTAAATTGGTATAATGAGTAGAGATACTTATACTAATTATTGCGGACATAATTGAATTTCTAGGATAAAGAACTCGTTTAACCAAGTGGACTTGCATAGAAATATGAAATTTAATTAATTAAACAGGTTCAATGAGAACTCAAGAGAGGTAAATTGTATACAATAAGAGAATTTGACAGAACACTACATGATATACGAATCTTGATTTAGAATGTAAACATGATCAATAAGTGAAATTATTCTACCCTAATATTTGTTCACTATTTTAAGTTCTAGATCACTCTTTGTGTGCATCCACACATAGTTTCAAATAATCCATCAAAAATCACAACATCTAATTCCTTGTTTGTTTTCGATCAAATTAAAATTAGGAATAATTGAATCAATTATTAAATAGTAGTCCTCATGGGAACGATATCCGGACTCTTAGGTCCACTTACTATTTGTTATAATCCGTACACTTACGGGAAACAAAATCGACAACAACAATAAAATACTTTGCACATAAAAATAAATCATTATCCAAAACTCTATTTTGTCCAAGTAATAGTTACAGAGGCTAAAAAGAATTTGAGCTACTAAGTTTGTAGAATACTTGAAAATTTCTATATCTACCAAATCTAAATATTACTTCAATTTAGTTGCTCCATTTCTGCTATAAGTAAGCGAATTAATTAAAAGTTTTTCTTTTTTATCATACCATATATCAAATTGTGTAAGGTTATTTATAATGATATTTCATTATGTTTATGCTCCTAAAGAAGTATAAAATAATATTAATATTCTTGATGAATATTTTTTTGTATTCCTGAGAAGCACAATATTACAATATAAATATTATAAAAGAATATTTTTGCTATCATTCTTGAAGAAGTACAATTCTTCACATTTAGAATAATATTAAGCTATAAATTTTTGTTGAATTAACTACAGGTTTTACACTACATTAATATTCCATGGAATATTACTTGCTCATGAAGAGTTTAATTTTGTGAGATCTAAAATTCATAAAACTTGTCATAATATTGCTTCTGGTGAGTAAATCCTTACGTAATTTAAATGATAATTTGTGTTGCTCCTGAAGTAGAACTATATTTTGGAAGAACATTATTTACTCTTGAAGAGTATGGTATTATAATTTTAATATTTCAGAAAAATATTAAGTTATTACCCTGAAAAAGTGTCATCTAAATTATTTAAAAATAAATAATAATATTTTACATGCTCTCGAAGTAGCACATGTCTTTAAGATTATTATATCATCAAAGAAAGATGAAAAAAGGGATTAGTGATCTTTTTTAATTGTTAATATACAATCTTGATTACATTAAGCCTTATTAATTTCATGTGTTAGCATTTTTATATTATCGAGTGGGAGACCTTATGGAAAAATGTTAAAATAGACTTACATAATCACTAAGTTCATGTATTATTGTAAGTCAAACAAATAATCATATTGATTATGCATTACATACTATCGATATAAATTGTTCATTTATTCTATATTATTTGAATGCTTACTTTTGGAAGTACCTATTGTATATCCAAGTACTTCATTGAAATTATCATGAATCCCTAAAGGGTAAAAGGAAATGCTCCAAGCTATAGTATAATTGAAGCAAATAGTGTGTTAAACCAAACTTTGGATAAATATTAGTTGGGATTACGATAAATAATTTAACACAATTGATGGTTGGTCTTCAATCAAGGTAAATAAAGTTATATCTATGAATGACCATTGGATCTATGCAGCCTTAATCATGACCTATAAATATGCATCTTGATTCTTAATAAAATACACGCTCAAGTCTATTAATTTCTCTACTTTCTTCTCTTTTTCTCTATAATTTATAATAGAATTATAAACTTTGAAGAACAAATTTTTTCTAAGTATATAATTACTCAAGTCATTTTTTATCTACGCATTTCGAGAGATCCAAAGTACTACTCACTTATGCTTAATTTTTAATCTATTTATAATTTAAATCGATTATATAATATCTATATGTGCTTCTGAACATGTTTGTGAGTTATTTAAAATAGTAAATTATAAATAAATAAAATTGAGTGGTGGATAAGTAGTTTTGGGCCAAAAAAATTGAAAAAATGATCAGACAAATCAAACCGAACCTACTCGGGTCGATTTGACACAAGTAATTGGTTTGATTTGGTTTTCTTTTAAACAAAATCAAGGTGGATCGGTTCAATCATGATTTGAAGTCTCAAACCGCTAATTAATTGAACCAACCCAACCACTTACATGTTTATCTATTTTTTAAGGGGAAAAAAATCAAAAGATAAGTCATAATCTCATAATCATATCTCGATTTCCTTCGATCTATGATGTTATCGGTAAGTAATAGCATTAAAAAATTTCTTTCATAAGCTCATTGTGTTATACTTTTTTTGCCTACTTAGGTAGTCAGGCTACATAATACATAAAAAAATTCTTAAATTTTTTGTATATTTGTCTTTATTAACCTGATTTTATTTGTTAGTTAATAATTCTTGTAATATAAAAGTTATTTATTTTTTTTAATAATTGTAGTCTAAGTGGGCTCAAAACTTCGACATTTAAAAAAAAATCAATTTAGATTAAAAGTGCAAACCGACTAACCAAACCGATTTGATTTGTTTCGGTTCGGTTTAAAAGCTAGAGTGTGTTGATTTAAGTTGAAATTCATGACAATAGACTAATTTGATTGTAGTTTCAAGTTGGAGTTGAAATCGACTTAAATCAAACTACGCACTGGCCTATGGATAAGTGAACAATACACGTGGATCTCGTGAAATATGAATATCAATTAATGATTTGATCAATTATAAATAATTTATAAACAGTAGCCAAACAAGGGCTAAACAATTACAAGCGGCTAGTCGTTGTCGGGTCACACTGTTCTCAATTTTTGATGTCGTTTAGCTATTCCAATTTCTTTTACTTATACTCTTTCGACCATCAATCAGATCAATTTTTTGATTGGTACCAGATTTTTCCAATAGAATCGATCGATCCATTCCAATTCTTAAAATACAAGCAGATATATGTATAAATTAGGATACTTAAATAAGGTTTTAATTTGATTGCAATAAACCCAATTCAACCCAATTTTTCTTTTTCAATCTAATCATTTAAAACTAAATAAAATCTTAAAAACACACTAAATCCCTGATTCGTAGGGATTAAAATCTAGATTTTAATAAAATTAAAGTCAATAATTAATTTTATAATAATGTTATATATCATTGGTGGGATTGAACACCAATTTAGATATTTTCATATCATAGGTCTTATTAATTGAGCCATAATTATCCGTATTTAAATGCACCAATAATTTAACATCACTAGTGCTAACTTAAATTGGTGTTAAATACCAGTACTGCTAAATAGTATTACTTTTAGTCTTAACAATATATTTCATAAGATTCATAATTTTTCAACCACATGTTTTATCAACTTTTATAAAAATTTTGATTTTAATCCTTACCAAACATAGCTAAGCAAATACGAGAAGTGAAAATTACACCTGACCTTACATTTTAACTTATCAATACAAAAATCAAATTTTAAGTTCATTCTTTCGAAGATTTGGTATTTTTTATTCATCCACCCCACCTCACTCCTTGACCCTAATTCCTTTTTTATCGAAAAAAAAAGTCACAAAACTTCTCACCTTCCTCATTCTCCACTAGGGGTTGTTTCTTCCTTATTTGATATGCTTATTTAGAATTTTGCGATGATTTTTGCTGGTGGCGACGATGGTGGAGTGGTACTAGTGACAATATTGCCGGTGGTGCTGGTGGAGTTGAATGTGATGAAGGGTGTTTGTGACCAATTATTCGAGTAATTGTGACCAATAAAATGGTTAATTTATAATCAATAAATAATATGCAATCAATAAAATAGATAATTTGTTATGAATAAATAATATGTGGTTTAAAAAATGTATGATCGTGACTAAGTTTGTAATTATGACTTATAAATTGCTATTATGACCTTATACGATTTTTGAATGTAACCATAATTTTGAGTTATTGTCATGATTTTTTTAAAAAAAAATTCATGAATTTTTTTTATTTTTGAAAGCACATATTTATCCCTGTTTGGTGCCCATTATTTAAAAAATAAAAATAAATAAATAAAAACGGAGAAGAAGAAGAAGTTTTAAATAGTATTTTAAAAGAATGTGTGATTAAAAAATAGTAAAATATTTAGAATTTATGTGCAAAATATTTTATCATATAAATGTGTAATTGAAAATGTTGACCCCAAAAAATACGCTAACAGGTATCGAGTTCAGTAGACTTCCACGTAAGCAGATTCTGGTGGGCTTTATACGGATGCTCAATCGGAGATTTGACGATCAATTACTTAAGTGGATATAGAAATGAGGTATTCACGATTGAGAGCAATTGAAAAAATAAAAAGGATGGCCTAAACGAGCATTCATAGAGAGAAAATAATAATGTATGTTTGAATGTATATTTTTCCATCATTCACAATGTTGCAAAAGCTGCTATATATATATATATATATAGTCAACCATCTTACTTTTCTAACTGACATATTTGACATCCATTAATGCAAAAGTCACATAAGTCATTTCTAAAGATACACTCATCAGACCTGCTCTAAAAAATACAATCACTTCGATCACTGAAAATAGGATGGAGCCTCGACCAAGAAAGAGTTTGCCTTGAGGTCGATTTTAAGGGATGGGAGCACTTCGACAACGGATCTTTACAGAGATAGTGCCTCTATTGTCTGGCTTGACTACCACATGTATGTGTTGTACCTCCACGTGGCTTTCATTGGAGGCTTCACATATGATCGGTAATAGAAAATAATCCTGTATCAGAAATAGTTTTAAAGCAATGAGCAACAAACATGGCTTAAAGTACGTACTCTTCCTATGTATGAGAAACCAATTACCCGGCCCAATTTCTTCACTCGCTGGTTGAACCCTACAATTGTCTCTCCCGCCTTTCTCCGACTAGCTGGAGGAGTGTCTTGCTATCTTAACAAAGTCTCAAGCCTCTGGGTAATTTCTCAACTCTTCTCCATGCTCTTCAATTCTTTACGTTCTCCGCTATCTGCTCTCGTCCGAAATTGGAGCCATTTTTGGCTTCTGAGATTGTATATGTACAATTACTTACCTGTTTTTGGCTTAATTATATTTGATCTTAACTGGGATTTCGAGTGTCCTGTTTTCAGCAAATATATTTTGTTTCATTTTCTTTATATATATATATTGGTTAATGATTCTTGTGTGCTATAATTTTTTCTTGGCTATTTTCTAAAAATCTATCCAGAAGAACTTATAAAATTTGAGTAATAAGAAAACCAGATAGTCTTCATATATCAGCAGCTTTTATAATAAGAAAACATTCAGAAATGATTAGAGGAAATAGTAGAATGGTAATAAATTATAAAGACTAAATGACAATACAATAGATGATGCATATATAGAAGAAGATAATATAATTGGAACATATAGTAAAGACATAAAAGAAGTATTAGAAATTTTTAGAATAATTAAAAATTTACCTTTAGAAATACAAACATTCAAGAATCTCTCTGATCTTTTCAATTGTTTCTTGATTTAATGGCTTTGCGTTTTTATGCTTTATATAATTTTCTGGGTAAGTGGAAAACATTGTCATTCGTTGTTTTTTATAAATGTGAAGTAAATTGTTTGCATTTATAGTGATGTACTAATGTGCTGTTCTGAAGTAGAAATGTTTTTGTAATTTGGGTCCCTGAATTGAATCTTTGGGTGCTTTTGAAGATTAATTTGAATTTTCTATTGTTGTACTTTTTTTTTTCTTGGGTTGTTCTCAGATTCTTCTTGTGACGGGTTCTATGAATTGCTATTCCGTCAGATTTTTTTTATTTTTTATTTTATTTTAATATTGATTTTAGTTAAAAGGAACGTTGGAAAAAGTGTGTAGAAATGGAAATGGCAAACAATTATGTTACCCTTCTTACTGATGTCGAAAAAATTCGATTTCGCATTATTTCCACTCAAGGTGTATTTTCTTGCAAAATATCTGCCTCTCTTTCAAAGTTTCTTTTCTGTTTGGTGCTATAAGACTGTATGTGTCATTCATTGGAGATTTGTCGGTGAACATATACTTAATGAGTTATTATCACGTAGTAGACAACACCATTTATTGATATATAATGTGATCCTATATAAGGTGCTTTATAATTTTAGGAATATGGTGGGATGAATGGCTTAGTTGTTTTGCTATTAAGAAAGAATGGACAATTGACATTGTTGTAGTAATAAAAGAACTGTATTGAGTAGTATTATGATTTTATTAGGTAATTGAGTGTGATGGATGTCAGGATGTCAATAAGTACCCATTTTTGGAAATGGGACAGAGTTTGAAAATAGTCTCCAACAGCAATTTTTACTCCCTACCGCCGGAGAAGATTCTATCATTGAGAAAGTTAATGGGATTCCCAATGGCTGCTTAAAAGTAGAAGAATTGAGGGAGAATATTGAATATGGTGTAAGATAGGAATGACCTTCAGTGTCCATTTAAATTAGTTAACTCTATAATATCGATGGGGAGTGTAAATTTTAAGCAATCTAGTTTCTGCTAGAAGTTGTTCTCTGATTTGGGCCCAAGCCATAACTGATTTAAGCAAACTGGTTTGGGTGGTTTCACTTTCACATTAAAATAAAGTTGGCATAGTTTGGCATTTAATCAAACCAACTTGGTCAATTTTGGTTTCACTATTGTAATATACAGAACAATGAGCCTGAAAGGGGCATTTATTGAGCCATTAGATTCAAAGCATGGTTGGGAGTTGTTTATAAATGGTTTAGATTATAAATAAATAGAAATGTGGTGGATAAGTAAATATCACTTGTGAGCTCCAAGGAATATGTGGACAAAAATGGTTTGACCAATTATAAATAATTGATAAATGGTAACCTAACAAGGGCTTAGATGACTGTTAAGCCCACACCTGTAGTCTTCCATCTCTATTCAAACCACTCTTCAACTTCAGCATCGCACTCCGCCCGAAAATGACAAAATTCAGGAAGCTTAATCGACCTACAGGTCATCGAATGTCTATGCTCAGGTAAGATAATTTTTTCTCCTTTTTGTTCCTTTTTTTTGGGATTTTTCTTTGCTTTGAAATTTTTTAAGGGTTTAATTTTCTATGCACAGGACAATGGTGTCACAGTTGGTGAAGCACGAGCGCATTGAAACCACTATTGCTAAGGTAAACTTCTACGTTTTCATATACCATTTTTAGAATTAACGCAGGTTTAAATTTTAGATTTAATTTAAAATATAATCTTTTTATTAGCATATTTGCTGGCTTACACAAAAACAGAAATTTTTTTTTTTTCCAGAAAGATACCAAATAATTTGGGAGTGACAGTATATCGGGGCATTGATGTTTAATTGAAAAATGTTATCTAAATGTACTTAGGATTCTAATAATTTTGGTTTGACTGCCACCACTTCCTCAAATAATGAGGTAAGAAAAAGGAAAGAGCTGTTTTGTTTTCTGTATAACTAATCGTCATTTTCTATGATCATCTTTAGCAGATACTGAAGTCGAATTCTTGATTTTTTAATATTATTAAAAAATATGTATAACTCAAGAATTTGGTTACATTTATTTCATTTAACTATTACTTTTATCTGTTGGTTTCACTTTTTTATTTTATGTTTACTGGAATGTCGGATGGACAACCTGCTAAGAAGCTTTATGGTGTTAGTACTTTGGGCTAGGTCATTAATTACATGAATTGCCATGTTTAATTTCTTTCATTTTCCTATGTGTTAACTAATTTGTAGGCAAAGGAAGTCCGGAGGCTTGCTGATAATATGGTACAGCTTGGGAAAGAGGTTTGTAATTCCTGTTCTCTGATTTAAATGAGTTTATTAATTCAGATTCTGATGACAAAGGATAAATTTGAACAAGTTCTATTTTTTTTAATTTGTTCCTTTCACCATTAAACTAATGTGAATCGGTGGTATGCAATTACATTTTGTAATTACGGTCATTCTGCAATGTTAAGAAGGATAAGATGGTATTATGTTTCTGAGGTTCATGAATTGGCTATCCCCAGCTTTTAAGTTTGTATAGCCCTAGATATTGAATTCTGATTTGTATTAGTTGGTTCTCATCTTTATGTATACTCACATTTTATTTTACTTTCTTCTATAACTTGTTTTTGACAAGATTTGGTGGAATGTAAATATGTAAATCTCTTTGATAGGTTATTCTATCAACGTGCACGAACAGAGTGCTGTATACTATTATTACTTTGATTTGTTTGCTGAAGCATGTTTCAAGAAAAAGCCTGAATTTATTCGAACTCCATGATAATGAGTTGACAAATGTTTGATAAAGTGAAATAATAATATACTTCTATGCTTTCTAGCATAATGGTAAACCAGTAGTTCAACCTTTCGAACCTTCGGAAATATTTTCTTGGAATTAGATAAAAAAAGCTCTGATTATATAGAAGTCAGACAGAATTTTCATAATATCTATATCTAAGTGCATTTTTTAGTGTTTAGTTTTCTGACACAAGCCAAATTATAGGGTACTCTCAGCGCTGCAAGGCATGCTGCTGCCTTTGTACGTGGTGATGATGTCATTCACAAGTTATTCACGGAGTTGGCTTATCGATACAAGTGAATTTCAAACCTGTTTACTTTGTCGTGCATTTTTTTTACTTCTCATTGTGATATAAGTTAATACATTTCTCATTTATAGAGAGAGAGCTGGTGGGTACACGAGATTACTTCGAACCCGAATTCGAGTTGGTGATGCTGCACCAATGGCCTATATTGAGTATGTCTTCTGTTAATGGAGGCACGAGCTTGTCATCTGTTCACATATTAATAATTGAGCTTTTAAAGTCATAAGAAGTTTCATATTTCACGAATCATGGAGAGAAATTCTTTATAGAAGAAAATTCATCTTCTTCTGAATATCTATCGTACAGCTCATTAATATGAATGCATTTTAACTGTATTTCCCGGTTTGGGTTCTATGTTGTTTCCTGGCAGGTTTATAGATAGAGAAAATGAACTTAGACAATCTAAACCACCAACTCCGCAACCTTCTCAGAGGGCTCCCTTAGATCCCTGGACAAGATCTCGACTTACCAGACAATTAGCACCACCCAAAGAAGAGAAAAGCTCCGAAGCTGAGAATTAAGTTACAATGATTTTGAAAGGTTTTGTTTTCATCTTTCTATTTGATATGTAACCTTTTGTAATTCTGTAAAGGTGAAATTTTTTTTCTTCCTCGTTAGCGTTTAATGAAATACTGGGATGTCAGATATGGTAGAATCCACTATGAGTGAAATAATGCAGATTTGGATTTATCGTGGTGCTTACCATGTTCGAACTGGCTTTTATTTCATTCATTAGCATCTTGATAAGCTTCCTCACAAGAGTAGATGCAGTAATAGGTAATAGAAAAAGACACAATAGTGTCTCTTTACTAAATGAATTGTGCCTATGCTCCTCAAGGGCATATTCAACCGACCCATATCCTTTTTCAATTGTAACATTTGATATTTACTGTCAATTAAATTGGTGCTAAGAAAGTGCATTACCTTTCGAGCTATATATGCTTGTAGTTGAATTAATGTATTAATCATTTAACTACTTGAAAGTGACTACACATACGGGGGATGTTCGATAGTTTTTGATAGATGTTTTAGCAGATTTTGATAAAAATCAACGAAATATGTGATCAAAAAGTTGGTAAAAGTCATAAGTTTTATGAAATGTGTAGTTAAAATTAAAGTTTGATAACTTGAAATGTTGAAAAAAATTTAGCATAGTTTTATCCAATTCTACGATGTAAAGGACTATCTAGTCGTGAGTTCTCTGTTAGAATAGACAAGGCAGTTGGAAATTGATCCGTGCAATTTGGAAAAAACAAAAGATTTCATAAATAATATTTTGGAAGACAAAGTTCAGGCATAGAGACATCAAAAAAGAAATAAATAAACCAGCTATTGATTATGTTTATGAAGGAATTTGCAAAAATCAATTACTAAAGTTAACATGTATATTCTTGAAATTTGTTGTAAAAGAATTAAAAATTGAATTAAAGATTTAAACATTAAAGTCATTATTATTTTAATTTATTCTTCAGTTATTGATCTTTTCTTTTTAAAATAGAGATTCAGCTATTTTGATTTCATATCCAGGATAATTATAAAAGGATGGTCATTTTTGTGTTCAGACACAACTTGAAAAGCTCTCTCTATATATAATAATCTTATATATTTAGTAGTTTTAGTAACTGGATAAAGGCTTGTTCTTTATGATCAATAAGATTCTTATTTTGGAGCAGCATAGACTGAAAGTTAGTTTGAAATCTTACGTTAAAGAGAATGAATAAATAAAAGAGCTTTAATCGATTAATATTTTAATGTTCAGTTGAACTTTTCCACATTATTTGTCTCAATCAAATTATTGTATCTTCAAATTCAGTGATCAGTTTAACTTGCGAGGTTCCTCATGCGATAAAAGACAATCATCCTCTAAATGAACTAAAAGTTGCATAAAATGGTGACTAAACCATGATTATGATAAAACACAATTTCTGGCTCTTCTGGATAATGCATGACCATTCTTCTGAGTGCGAATTGTACATCTTCCGGATAATGAATAACAATGTATCGAAATCTAATCAATTTAGGGAGGCTGATATAAGCAACTATAAAAGAATGGAATGGAATGAAATGCGTTGATTTGGAAGAGCAACTTGCTTTCAATTCCGTTTTAGTGTCCGAATTTTTTTGACAGGGGAGGTGACCAACTCTTGAAAGGGTGGGGGCCCCACTTTTTTTTGGGACTTTTTAATTTACGGGGGATCCACGGCATGTGAGAGGTTGTCAACCATTCGGATAAAAAAATTTGGGCAAAGTAGCAAAATTCATTTGCTTTAGGGTGACTATATAAGTCTCCGTTTGGCCCCTATTAATTTTCATTTCATTTCTTTCTTTCTTATTTTCAACGACACAATCTTTCATAAAATAATATTACATGTAAATCAAAAAAAAATTCTTCTTTTTCAACCACTCATTTTTTCAAAAAAACATTATTCCACCTATTTTCATTCCTACAAAATGTGGGTCAAACGGGGGCTAAAAGCTTTATAAATAAAAGATTGTTTAATTGTCACGTTTAATTTGGAAGATTGTTTATTTGTCACTTGTTTATTTTAGTGTGAAGCGTAAATGAAGATATTCTTTCAAAAAAAAAAAAAAACAATTCACTTGTAGAAAATATTGATGGGGGAGATATCGAATAAAGTAGCTTTTAATGTTGCACAACTTCCAAGTGATATAGGACCAAAGATACAAATTTTGGATTACAATGCTAATATTTTGGATTAAATTCACAGTAGAAAACTCGTCCGAACTTGATTACATTCCATCAGCACTAGACATCATTCCTAACTCCGTCACTGTGCATAATGTTAATAGTACTTACACAAAAATAAAGCTACACGACTTTTAAATTGTTATGAAAGTAAATGATTTGTGTACTGAAAGAATTAACTTTAATATATTTATATATTCAATTAATTTTTTGGTACACAACTTATTTTCCGGAAAAAATTATTCCGATATTATTCAAGTTAGATTCTCCATTGCCATAAATAGGAGATGTGGTAGTCGATTGTGCTTGTGAAGTAATCCTTACTCGTTATTTTATTTATGGTTATCAAGACTTAACAAAGATTATACTGATAAAGGTGACTCGATGAGTACTTGAACTTGCCATATATCCACGGGCACCAAAAGTAGCAGCTGGCTTGTCCTCGAGGAACTCGACCATTGCAACCCATTGACCCGAAGCCAAGATATGCAAGTATCTGTTGAGGGATAAAATCTACATCTGTTAAATAGATTATTAAATAAGAGTTTAGACTATGGTTGTAAGCAAAAATCGTAAAATCGGAAAATCGAGTCAAAATCGCATTTTAAAAATCATCAGTTTGGTGCCACGTGAACCCGATGAACGAAATAGTTTTGAACCAAATCAAATCGGTCAAAATGATTTGGTTTAGGTTTGAAAATTTTAATTGCGGTTTAAAATCAAACCAGATCGACAAAAAAAATATAAAAATTAAAAAAAAATGAAATTTTTTGAAAATTTATCCAAATATGTAAAATTCAATAGTTTTGTCATTTGTGGGTATTTTTGTCAATTTCTAATTTTCGGATACATATATATTACTATTATCTAATAATCCTAATTTATATTCAATGATCTCAAAATTAACATAATCTATCAAAAATCATTTTCCTCTTCAAAATTCAGATAAACTCCAGCCGACACCCGCCACGGTCTTGAGCCACCGACACCACACTTTTTCTTCAAATTTTTTACACCTCTTCAAAGTTGAATTGTAGTCCATTACACCAAATCGGAGACAAAGAGATCATAGGCCTTTGGTGATAATATTTACTATGAATAAAATTTCAAATCAATAATTTTTTTGAGCAAACTGAGATAAGAATCTAAAATTAAATGTGTTTCGTAACATACAAACGTAAGCTTATGTAATTGTTATGTTTAAATATTATAAACAACTGCATTATTATTGTGGTTGGTTATTCTTTGTTTAATCAGTAACTTTTTTTCAGATATGATGATCACGAGGTCTTATTGGAAATCATTATATTTTTTGGACCTTATATCTCGTTTAGTAAACTTGTTTTGTAACGTTATCGTAAAGTAATTAGCTTAAAAAAGATGAACAAAAATGAAAAAAAAAAAAACTATATTTTAGTTTATTGTGATTTCACTTTGATTTAATAGATGTTTAAGTTTATAGTAGATATATTTAGCCCCTGTTCGAGGCATATTTATCATGTTATCATAATGAGAAAATTGATCATTGGAGAGGAGGCTTGGTCTCACGCATGAAACAACAGATCAACAAATGCAGTTGAACTTGTGGGATAATGGTCTAAATTTTCATTTTTTTGTCCCAAAAATTTGGTTCAAACGAGGGTTTAGATTGTTTTAGATTTAAAACTAGTAAAATATAAATATATATTGAATTCAGTGAATTAATGTCATAAAAGTAGACAGACAAAAAAATATACGGCGAAACCAACGATTAAAACCGGACCAAACCATTAGGTTTAGATTTGATTTTTTTTTCAAACCGTTCAAAATTGTTTGGTTTAAACGATTTGGTTTGAAAATTTGTCAAAAACCGGTAAAATTGGATCGCTTACACCCCTAGTTTGGACTACTACTCCTAACAAAATTTAACTTTTAACATGGAACGGTCCATTAAATTTCAATGAGCAATTTGATTCTACAAAAACTAAAATAAGTATATGAATTTCAAGATTGATTTGTTCAGAAGAGCAATCATCTTGTGGGAGCATATTAAAGGGTAAATTTTACTTTGGTTAAATGCTAAAATATAAATTAATATATAGGGGTTTGGATTATTCTTCTTAACACAGTTGATATTTTCTGATGACCCTCAAACCTTAATAGTCTCAACAAGAACTGGACTCGATAAAGATAGCTATCATGGAGGAGAACGTTATGTCACAAGGAAACCACGCCCATGATTTGCTATATGAAATCATGGGTGAAATTTGATCATCATCTTCTTTGCACAAAATAACTTTTCCAGAGACAAGTGAAGTTACATTATTATATATATTTTAAGGAAAAAGTTGTCACCTTAACCAGACTATCTTTTCTTTCTTTTCTTTTCTTTTTTCCCCCCCCCCTTTTTTTTTTTTTTGGTTATTCTTGTAAAGGAGCATGCAGTTGCTCTATGCACTTAAATAAAACTGAAGGAGAAGAAACTTGTATTACAGTGCGAATAATGATTTGAAATATACCTTAAAATGTGACTAAATTGCTGGGATAGGAATTGAAGGAAATGCCCATGACAGGAATGGCAAAAGATGTCTCCAATAGCATTCTCTGATGATATGCCTCCACACTACTGAGGTTCTCCACGAGACAACGATAATATTCTTTGAGCTTTTTAAGCAAACGCGAGTATTTGAGTTTCATCCATCGCAGTTTTACTCGTTTCAAAAGTCTCACTAGATTGAACCTGCGAGCTAGTTTCTTACCTCCTAAGCGAACTGATGGCGGCCTCCGTCGCCGGAACGATACTTTGCGACGGATTGGCGTCGGGAAGATGGTGGTGATGAACATGTTGCTATGAGAGTTTTTGTTGTAAGACAAATTTGAGACGTAGATATGAATCATCAAATTTTGGCAGACTACATATAAAACAGATTATTTGACATCATTCAAGATTGATGATAATGAAAAATATTATTATAGATTGCGAGAATATAGTTTTCATGACCATTTAGCAATCATGTTTAGACATGATTTATTATTT